GATTTAAAAATACGCGAGTATGTGTTTTTTTTCAAATAAATTAACAGCAAACGCATTAAAAATTCGTCGTCACAAAAGCCCCCCAGGATAATTCCTAGGATTATTAATCAAAGTTATAACGAACGTTCGGGTGCGGATGTGTTAACCGAACATTTCGGCGCCATCTTTTGGATTCAGTTATATTTGTATCAAGAATTTTCGAATATTTTGCAACTATCTAGTTGAAAGTAGAAAATTTTGCATCCGAATCGAGTCGTATTATACAAATTTGTTTTTGCAATGTGAAGCCACCAACGATTTAACGAACTTCAGCAGGCCTATCAGTCTGCGTTTATGCTACAAATGCTGAAGGGGCTGATTGATCTGCACATAAGGAATGGGATTCTTCGTGACTGTCTTTCGAGAGCTCAACATGCTTAATGCAAGGTAGGGTCGGTGGATACCGCCCTACTCACAATAGGTAGTAAAGTGGATAGATAAAGCCTTCACACATAAAGAATTTGCAGTACGGGCCTTCCTCGACATCGAGGTGTCCTTCAACAATGTCATTCCTCAAGAGCTGGGGGTTGAAAACAACCGACGGAGGAGCGCCTGCACTCAGCGTAGATTCAATACGAGCACTACCCGAGGTGGTGTTTGCTCTCCCGTGCTCTGAACCGCCTATCTGATCGCCTATGCATATGATACCCGTTTTGATCTGACTCAGGGTTACCTGAACTTGGTAACTTGGTGGGAGGTCAACTGCTGCCCCGCAGCTAATCCCAGCAAGACGGAACTGGTCTTGTTTTCTAGGAAGAACATGGTCTCCGGTGTGGCTCTTCACTCGATCGGGGGTGGCCATTAGCAGCTCTCTGACAGGGTCAAGTACATAGGCCTGAGCCTAGATAAGAAGCTGTCGTATTCCTAACATTGAGGAAAGGGCAAGTAAGGCGTCGGGTTGTCGCAGCACGAACTGCTTTTTGACTCAGGGGTACCGGGTGGTTAACTGGCTCGAAAGCTAGACAATCTAGAGTTCTGGAGGACTTTTATTTCGTCCCTGACCGGACAGAGTTCTGTGCCTCGGAAACGGCTCCTAGTAGCTCCTTCGCTACCTGCATTCCTTCAAGAGAAGTCTGGATGGGACGGGGTTACTGGGTTACGTATCAAAACTTTTAGGAAGGGTTGGTGCCGGGAGCTTTCCATCAAAACTATCAGGCTTCCAAACTTCTGCGGTGCATTTCAAGCCGAAATAGCTGTCATCAAGGAAACGGTAGACACGTTACTGTTGAGTGTGACGTTCATTAGTGATGTTGGAAAAATCAAGATTAAGATTAAGATTGAAATAAGATTAGTATTAGGATTAAAACTTAGATTATGACTGATATTAGGATTAGGAATAATATTAGAATTAACGTTAAGAACAAAGATAAGATTAAATAAAGATTGAGATTGAGATTAAGATAAAAATTAAGACTAAAAGTAAGATTCAGATTAAGACTAATACTAAAATTAGAATTAAAACCAAGATTCAGATTAAAATTTGGGTTTCGATTAATATTCAGACGAAGATTAATATTAGGATGAAAATTAGAGCAAATAAAAATAAAAATTAGATTTATATTAAGACTACGATTAATATTAAAATTCAAATTAAGATATGATTAAAATAAAGACTAAGATTAAGACTAAAATTAAGATTAAGATTAAGACCAATATTAAGATTAAGACCAAGATTAGGATTAAGGCTAAAATTAAGATTAACATTGGGATAAAGATTAAGTTCAAGATTAAGATTCAAATGAAGATCCATAACTATACACTACTATGCATAAAAATTCTCATATAATATGGCGAGCTATACGGGTAGTAGGAAAAAATATCACTTCAGTGGCGCGTATAATCCATACACTACTTTTTATATTTTATCATAATCCCATTTTGAATGTTTTATACATTTTTTTCTTTGAAGAAAGTTTAACATATTAAATTATTATATTATAGTAATTCGGTACATCCACATAGTATGACAATAACCATATAAGAAATAATAAATTATTACAAATTTCATACAAAGTACCCAATAAATAATCAATCTAAATGAAAAAAAATAAATAAAATGTTTTAAAAGTAATTACAGAACTAAATAGGCAGTGAGTACATTAAATTAATTATCGGCATTTAAGGGGCGTAAATTCATCCATGAAATAACTAATGACTACTTATTGGAGGTTGCATTTGGACATTCGGCAGAATTGTGTCATCGGAAAAGGCAATAGAAGCTGCAACAACTATGCATTTAGAAAAAAGTGTGATAAGAAAGAAAATTCAAAAGAAGGTTATCGCTGCGCGGTGACTTTATCTCAAATGGTCAACGGCATATCCCACCAAACAGCGGCAAATCAATAATAACAACAACAAAACAAGTAAAACCGCGTTGGTGGCATCAAGCATTGCAAGCGACTGCCAAATGCAGCTGATGCTGATGTTGATGGCGATGGCGTTGGTGATGGGAATCGCTTTACCGATGGCAATGGCAATGCCATCAGTGTCCACAAAAATTGTCAATTGAAAATTGGAAAATTTTACTGATGCTGCTGTAAGCAATTCTTTTATTTGTATTTCCTATTTTCATTGATGGCTACTAGAGATGCGCTGATCAAAGACATCAAAAGCGCAACGCAATACTCGGTATGTACATTGACAGCGGAGAGACGGACGATGGATAGAGCTGCTGGTTGGGCTTAAATGCTGATTGAGTGAGTAGAAATGGAAAATAGCGAATTATAAATGCAGCAACAGAGCAACTAAGGCTATCTACAACTAGTTACGTTTTTTTTATTGTTTTTGTTTCTATTGCTTTTCGGGTGACATCCTCTTCAATGTATATATTAAAGTAGCTGGCTGCGACTGTGCCATTGGCGACTGCCAAAGGAATTGGGTTATGACCTCGAATGCGTGTTGCGCGTGCGCTGCGCACCCAACAAGGTAATACCAACTATGGTGGTGAAGCAGCAACAACAGCAAATAAACAAATAAACTTTGGAAATATTATAAGCAACAATGACGATTGCAAACAGCAGCATCAGCTGCACTTATCTGTGCCTGTTGCATGCCCCACTCATGTGCTGGTGGTGGTGGTGGTGGTGACGTAAAATGCCTTGCATCGTGCCACCAGCAACACTTCTTACTTGCAACTCTATCTTCAAATGTCACCTTCTTCTGCTTGTTGCTGCTACTGTTGTTGTTGTTGTTGTTGTTGTTGTTATTGTTGCTTTCTCAGCTGGCGATAATAGAGATTTTTTTTTTCATTTCGTTTGCATTTCAAATTGAATTTTTCTGCATTTTCAGCTGCAACTTTTGTGACAGTGTTAGTAATGGAAATGTGATTGTAGTGATTTGGTTGTTGCTTGATAGCTGATTTGTTTGCTGTGTTGACACTTGCATTGTTGCTTGGCTTGCGATAGCGTTGGTGGTGGCATGCCACATGAGCGATCTTGTGCTTCGACATGACTTGGGATTTGTTTGTGAGGTGCGCTTGATTTGGTTTGATTGTTGTTGGGATTGGGTCATTGGTGGTGGCCACTGTTTCTTCTGTTGCATATAGCACTTCATGCCATCAGATATGAAATTGAGATTCTTTTGCCCTAAAATGGCATGAAACGTAGAAGGAGAAAGACATGAATCGCGATACTTTTTACTACTTGCACACATAGTATTTAGATACTTGCTACAGTTGCTACAGTGTGTGTAGGTGGGTGTGTGATTGTGGATGTTCGAAGAGGTTAAATATTTTGACTCTTTTGAAGATCAATTGAAATAAAATTCAATAAAAATAAAATTAAATTAAATTAGATTAAATTAAATTAAATAAAATTAAATTAAATTAGATTAAATTAAATTAAATTAAATTAAATTAAATTAAATTAGATTAAATTAAATTAAATAACATAAAATAAAATTTAATTTAGATTAATCAAATAACAAATTAACCCAAAATTAAACTAAATCTTATTAAATTAAACGAGCAATTCTTGTATATATATATATATCCATAGGGTTCTCGGAAACGGCTCTAACGATTTTGATGAAATTTTGTACACAGATGGTGTTTTGGATCTTAAGGTTATCTGAATATGTACGTAATATCTCCGAGAAGACTCTTATAAGGTTGCCACCTATTCGAAATTAGTTACGAATTAATTAAAACATCTTAATATGAGTATGAAATGGAAGGTATTTTAAAGATCCCTAATTCAAAAATATTTCTAATAAGGTTGCCACCTATTTTGAATCGCATATTTATTTAATTTTTTGTTTAGAAAAAAAGTTAAAATATTACTATTCATGGGTATCAAGAGAAGCTTCTTAAACCATGCTTTCCCTTTAAAAAAAATGTTGTGTCTTAGGATAATATGTAGTGTTATTTTGCCACTTATTTTCGATTCTACACAATTTATCTAAAATATCGCAATATGGATATCAAA